CTGGAAACAGGACAATCCAAATTCTATATGCAAACTCGTCTCCATGACTGCCAAGGCTGGTATGGTAGCAGTAGCCACAGCTTCAGAAAGGTTAATTTGCAGGCAGGACTGTCCTCACTCCATCTATACTGTGCAATCAGTGTTTGTGATGATTCTAACCTAGAGGCCATGATTAAATACCAATGCCAAAACATGAAAATCAGTAAGAACGGTTATCCAGCAGAGTCCAGCCAAAGGACATATCTCTTACAGCCAAGACACATTGAAAATACAGATATTGATATAAACTACAAACTGTGAAATTGAAACGTATTGAAGTGCATTGTTACTTATAGCTACCTTTGTCTTTATCTGAACGTTAGTAAAATAATATATTTCGCTATAATTTATTGCAATAAATGTGTGAAAGGATTGAATGCACTGCCATTGAAAAAGTAATGCAACCAGTATTTTCTCATATTGAAGGGTCTTTCTGCATTCACTCACTTGCACTAGATGTTATTTTATTCCATTTGATAAATATAAATGTTACACAGAAAAATATAGTTAGGGTTCAAATGCCTTACATGAAATCATGCAGAAACATTTACATTGCAGAAGTTTTTGATGGCTTATAGTAGAGTCAGTTCGAGTTGGGGTTGATAAACTTCAGAGGAAACAGTAAAAGGAGAGGAAGGAATAATCTGATATAGAAATAGATTCAGGTGGAATTGTCTAAATCATGCAAATAATTATATTTTTATTTCAGTGCCTTTGCTTGAGTAGACCAGATTACATCAGCTCTAGTGAAATTGCACAAGAAGCAGGCAGTTTTAAATAACTTAAATCATCTGCACAGTAGTATAATCTGGCGCATGCAGCAGATTTTAGAATTTCGCACCATTTGACACACGTTCAGTCTGGTGCGTGCAAAAGTGCAGTGCAGTAAAGATTTGAATTGGATCAACAAACTGAAACATAATGTAAAGGAGTAATAAAGAGACAGGCAATAATCCCTGCTTTGCACAAGAAATTCACATTATGTTGTTGGGTTGATCAGAGCTGAGGACAGCTTTACTGTTCACATTCACCTCTGCCTCCAAAGCAGTGCAAGTGACAGAGTATTCAATAAACAGCCTGTATTGGAGTCCTGTAGCTCAGTGGTTAGAGCACTCGCCTTGCAAGCGAGACACCTGGGTTCAATTCCAGGTAGAGCGAAACCTTGGGCAAAAGTTCCTCCAAAACAGCCTATTCTGTGAAGCGCTTTGAGACGTCGAGAAGACGTGAAAAGTGCTGTATCAAATGCAAGGATTATTATTATTATTATTGTACTTTCTCTTAATTCTGAAACTAGCTGGAATCTGACTGTTTGTTTGACCACTTTATTAGATCATATTCCTTTGCAGCCAACTTTAAATCAGCTTTGAAATGTGGCGGGGAGGAGAGAGCAGTCTGAACCAGTACTGATCAGTAAACAATACTGCAGCATTTAGACTAGGCAACTCAATGCAAATCAGCTTTGAATTTAGTTATTCATGTTACTGTCACTAGTGTAAAAATCCTGTGTGAAATCTGTGCTGAAGTCTATGTGAATTCAGAACCAAAAGGTGTGTTAACATTTGCTTTGCATGTTTTGTCTAAAGTAGCAACCTAGCTCAAGCAATCCATTCTGGATACCAAGTCCACAGTGAATTTTGAAGGGGAATTAGTAACTCTTTGAAATAGCATTTTAAAGAAATATCAAAAGTTATTAATAATCACAACATGTTGCATACAAATATAACAAAAATAGTATTAGGTTTGATCATACTGTATCATACCCAGTATTAGTATGAAAAAAGCTAGCAACAGATGTGGACTAAGTGATTGCAGATCTTGCTGGTGTGAACTCTTCTCCTCTTCCATAATGTAAACAAGCTGTGCTGAACAAGGATGTTCTGTGATCGTTGGAAAATGAACGACTAATTGCTTGCAGTGAAATGATACATTTTCAAAGTACAGTACTTAGCTATAAAGTTGAAGAGTGCTTTATTTGCAGATATGTTCTTCCGTTACATATTTATAATGGAATGGGAGGCAATGGTAAGAGGAAGAAAGAGGATTTGGAAGCTATAATTATTCAAGACATTCTGATAAATCGGAAAGGTTTATGAATATGAGAAAAAGTCAGCAGGTTGTTTTAACAGCACTTAACCCATTCCCTCAGACTATTATTTTACATGCAGTATTCTCTATGTTCAAAGGTTCATGAACAATAGGCAGTTATGGCATTAATGAGAGATTAATATACACTCGTGAATTATGATCATCTTTCTCTCCAATGATACAACATTTGGAAACCACTACTGATGAGCATTTGTCTCACAGCATTAAAAGTATCCAAGTTAGTTCTTCAGCAATGTACATAGCTGCTGATAGATCCAGGGAACTACAACAACAACAAAATTACACGTTGGAAGGACATCCCAAGGCACTGGACAGTGTGCTCACTGGGATAACTTTTTTTTCATTTCATGCTCTGATAGTCCTTCAAATGATAATAATTCTGTAATGAATAGGTAATCAGAAAGTCCAAGTATAAATTGACAGGTTTGCATCATAGATCTGAAAATAGAAGGATTTGATTTTGAATGCATTGGCCTGTCACTGCCCCCCACCCCCCCCAATTTGATTACACCCGTTTGGTCATTCAGAGACTTTAAAAGCAATGGTTTCCAAAGGATGGTGATGTATGGATTTAACAGACAAGAATACATTATCTTATTCCCTATCGACCAGCATATGTGTGGGCTTATCTTGGAAAATCACATTCAAAACCCAGTGTATCGGGACGTCCTCCCGACGTACAAGCCACTGCACAAATGTAATTTGTTGTTGTTGTTTCTAAGATGTGTAAAAATAGATTGCTTTCTGTGCTTCTTCAAATACAATATAAAATTACATTTGTATAGTGCCTTTCACGTCGAGGGTGCCTTTTAACTGCATATATGTCTGATAATAATTGGCCCCAATAGCCAATTTGGAATGAGAACTTTCATTATGAAAATTCTCGATGTAAAATTCCAGTACATCAGGAAAACAGGACTCACATTTTACACACAATATGATTAAAATACAACTCATTCGAATGTAAATTCACGAAAATGTGAACTTGTACGCACAACCTCTATAGAGTATATGTAAATTCTGTTTGTATACAAGTTTCAGAAATCTATGCCATTAAATTCACTTAATGGGTTAGCTGTATTCACAAGTTCAGGTATCCACAAAGCAACGATGGCATGTAATCACCATTCTGTTAACATACCAGTATAGGCACTCTGGGTTGCAATCCAACGTGAATGGCACTATATAAATGCAAGTTGTTGTTGTAGCAGTTTCACTGAAAGAGTAACGATCCCTGGCATGCATTTAATACGTGCTGATTTGAAAATAAACCCATGCTATGAAAAATCTATGGGGACTGGGACACAGTGAGTGATTACATCACACTTCTTGTATTCCAGGTTTCAATCCAGTCCACACAAACAAGATGAAAATACACTCTCTCTGCTGACTGCAATCATCCTATATGAAAACAGTTTGCACAATCCAGATCCAATATTAAGTGAGGGTGGGCCTTGGGAATAAAAATGGCTATAATTCATTGTTGCTTGACACTAAATTGTCAATCTTTTAGAAAGAGTGGAGTCCTGTAGCTCAGTGGTGAGAGCACTCGCTTTGCAAGCGAGAGACCTGAGTTCAATTCCAGGCAGAGGGCGAAACCTTGGGTAAGTTTCCTTACTCCACACAGAGCCTAATAATAATCCCTCTAAGACCAAAAACAATAATAAATTGGTCATTTTCAATCTATGACTGTTTGTGGGACATTGCTGTGCGCAATTGGCTGCCGCGTTCGCCCACAAATATACAGTCAATTCACTTTACAGTGTGTTCTGTGAAGCGCTTTGGGACGTCCTCCCGACGTGAAAAGCGCTATATCAAATGCAAGGATTATTATTATTAGTATTATTATAAAGAGGCTGTCAGGACAGTTGGCATGGAAAATGCAGTCAAATAAATGTCTGCACATTAATGCAACAAGGGGTGCTCTTCCAAGGTGCATTAATTGGACTTCACATCTTGCTTTTGCTATGCTTAAACTGGGAGTGCTTCATATTGATACTGGGTGACAAAGAGTAGAAATCCCCAACACTGACACCCTCACCTTGACAAGCAGGTAAAGTAACCGCAGTCCCCTACAATTACTGTTAATCCAACAAATGGTGTTTTAAAATGATCATCAATGACCAATAACTACCACACAGGCGTAGATTTTTCATAGCCTGGCTTCATATCTTATGTTCAGCCTTTAAAGACATTGCACTATTATGTCTGCTTGTAAACAAATTCTCATATTCCAACATTTTTTTGAGCCCAAGCATTCAATATTCTTGGATTGAGCAACATCAGGGATGAGAGAGGGGACACAAGTGATACTAATAATGCAAACCATCATAAATTCACAATACTCCAGTTGTGTTTTCCAGCAATCTGAAAGATATCAATTAAATCTCATCACTGCAGGACTAAGCTGCAGTTGAGGTTACTGTTTCACATTCTTAAGTCCCTCTCTCACAATGTGCACTGCATATAAACATATCTATATATACTACACTAAATTCTGCACCAACACGTCCACATTCACACTCAGTTTGTCAAATATAGATCCTTATTGCAGACAGAATGCATGTGCACCTAAAACAAATAACGCATCATTCCACACCAAACCCGAAGAGTATTGTATTGTCAAACGTCAATTTCAAATGCATTGTCTAAAAATGAATTCTGCGCGATATTGCGTTTGCAAAACCATCTGAATTACATTCATAGTTTTAGAAAACAGGGCACTTAAAGCCGCAAAAGCACACTCAAAACATGCAAAAACATGCATTCAATTACTTTTGGAAGCATTCGCTTTTTTTTTTTTGCTCGAAATGTTCGAGGATGAAAAGCAGTGCCTTTATGTTTTTTTTTTTTACCTCTGGCCAAAATCCTTGCGTTTTCCACGACTGTAAGAACAATTGCACTGAAAATGACGAAGAGTAATTTCACAAACATTTTGCTGAGGAGCGAACTGAAGGCAGAGTGCGTGTGTATTCTCAGAGATGGGTCACAAATAAGCCTTCAACACAAGAGTCAGAAAGCCATCAGCTCAGGAGGAGGAGACTGTGTGTCATTCACACACACACACACACACACACAACACTCTGGAAAAATGTTTTGGCAAAGACTAAAAGTCCTTCTCTCGCTGCCAAAGCTCCTCTGTAAAAAAAAAAAAGTTTTGATAACTGCTATTAATTTAGAGCAACAGTTAATTTGAACCGGATGATTTCTTCTTCTTCTTCTTCTTCTTCTTCTTCTTCTTCTTCTTCTTCTTCTTCTTCTTCTTCTTCTTCTTCTTCTTCTTCTTCTTCTTCTTCTTCTTCTTCTTCTTCTTCTTCTTCTTCTTCTTCTTCTTCTTCTTCTTCTTCTTCTTCTTCTTCTTCTTCTTTCTTCTTCTTCTTCTTCTTCTTCTTCTTCTTCTTTCTTCTTCTTCTTCTTCTTCTTCTTCTTCTTCTTCTTCTTCTTCTTCTTCTTCTTCTTCTTCTTCTTCTTCTTCTTCTTCTTCTTCTTCTTCTTCTTCTTCTTCTTCTTCTTCTTCTTCTTCTTCTTCTTCTTCTTCTTCTTCTTCTTCTTCTTCTTCTTCTTCTTCTTCTTCTTCTTCTTCTTTTAAACAGAGATCCCCAGTAACGTGAATGTGAATGTGCAACGGTATCAATGTGATCCGAAGGTTCATGTTTTTGTTTTGCTGTTGCAAACTCCGTTTAGAAATGATCCAATGCAAAACTTTCCGTTGTGCTTTAGATTTTACCTTTTGCCTTAAACTGAGCAATCAATACCTATCCTTTGGCGAGGGAGTAACAAAGATGTATTAAATGTATATAAATGCATCAATATGATATCTTCCATCACAGGAATGACTTAAATTATAGTGTAGATTAGAATAACACACACAATTTCGTTCTTACTGTGCAGTGTTATATTTAAAATTGCCTGTTAAGTGTTTGACCCCATGACAAACTCACATCAAAGCCAAAATCCCTACCCAACACATCAAGAAGCTCTTAAAATGTAATGATTTGTTGAATATTGTCATCAAATGTTAGAAAATCTGTTGACCAAGATAGGCTTTTTATTGTTATACCTAGAATGATGCATTTATGCATTTATTTCTCAAATGCTATCAAGTACAATCAGACAATAATAATCTTTGTCTTCGATACAACACGTCATTACGTTTTCAAGTGCACTTCCTCAGTTTTTATAGTGAAAAGTTGTGATTATAGGTGAATGCAAAAACAACCACAACAACAACAACAATTACATTTGTAAAGCGCCTTTCACGTCGGGAGGACTTCCCAAGGTGCTGGACAGACAGAGTTATGAACTCGAGCTGGAGGTCGGGTTGGGGGAGGGTGGAGGGCAGGGGTGGGGGAAGCAGGGAGATCGAAAGCACGGTCGAAGAGTAGGGTCTTGAGGTGGGTCTTGAAGGTGGCGAGGGAGGGGGAGAGACGGAAGGACTGCGGGATGGAGTTCCAGAGGTTGGGGACAGAGTGGCGGAAGGCCTGCCCGCCAATAGTGGGGCGAGCGAGGCGGGGGACGTGAAGCAGGCCGGAGCCCGCTGAGCGGAGAGGGAGAACAGGATGGTAGGGGATTAGGAGATCGGATGGATTGCAAATCAGAAAATTGGAGCAGTCAATTTGCTCACAGCAATGTCTCACAAACAGCCTTGAAGTGAATGATCAATTTTATTTGGGGGTTCGTTTGCCAGGACACAGTGAGAGACTCCCTTCTCTTTCCGAATTGTGCTGCGTGATCTTCAACATCCACCTGAACAGGCAGATGGGACCTCAGTTTAACGTCTCATCTAAAAGACAGCATCTTCCGCACTGTAACGCACCCCTAGTACTGCATTAGATTGTCATCTTGCGGGTCAATACATAATAATAATAATCCTTTCATTTGATATAGCGCCTTAACACGTCTTCGAGACGTCTCAAAGCACTTCACAGAATATACTATAAAGTGAATTGACTGTATATTTGGTGGGCGAATTTCAGCAGCCAATTGCGCACAGCAGTGTCCCACAAACAGTCGTGTATTAAAGTGACCAATTTTTTTTAAAGGAATTATTACCCCCGGAAAAGCGATCTGCCAATCGACTAACAACCGGGTTCATACTTACTGCTAGGTAAACAGAGATATGTGGAATAAGGAAACTTGCCCAACATTTCACCTCAAATTGATAGAGATGTGAGAATCACAGGACCATAACTCAATCTACTCTCTCTCTGTACTTTTTTTCTGTTTGAATCTTTCTAGTACATATTAGAATAATATAAATTGCCATTCAGTAATAACTCTGTAATTCAAACAAATCTGGCAAACCAGCTGAAGCTCCTATGGTTAATAATAATCCTTACATGTGATATAGAGCCTTATCATGTCATTGAGACATCTCAAAGCGCTTCACAGAATATACTGTGAATTGACTCTATATTTTGTGGGCAAAATATATTAGTTACATGTTAAGGATGTGAGAATCGAATATCTCTAAGGGCTTATAGGGCACACTGCTAATTCACTTTTATTGTATATTTTTATTGAAGAAAATGTATTTATGATCATTGTGTGGTGAGTATTTTTCTAGTATGGCACATGCAAACTCTAATTAAAGCTGATTGGAATGTTTATAGTTTCCACCAACTTGGTACCATAGTATGTTTTGCAAGCATATCAGCTGTAAGCAAAATATTATACACACGTGTAACATGTCTGTCCTCTTTCCTATATTCTGAGGTCATGTTAATGAAAGCATTTGCATGAATAAAATTTTCAAATCAAGTTATTTATTATCGGTTCAATTCATTAAAGTTAGCAACAAGAAAACTCCTATGGTATTGTTAAAAACTTGTGGTGGACAAAAGTACCAACTTTTTAGATATTATCACAGTGATTTCATTTTTTTTCAGTAATAGTGCAGATGTTGGCAATGTAGAAAACAGTATCTGCTGAGTATAAACACACTATATGGGTCATTTTTTGACCATTAAAATATCTTTACTAGTCATGGAAGTGTTTCAGTCTTATTTAACAACAAGTTATATGAATTTACAGTATTTTATTTGTTTAAGGTCTACATCTACCATGTACCAGTGACATTTAATTTTTTTTTGCAGTTCTGTCAATTTCTTGTTAGAATATCTTCAGTCAATATTCTCCCTTCTTCTCTTCCTGCTTGGTGATCCACATAGTCTTTATAAAGCGCTTTGAGATGACATTCTGTATGTCTGAAATGCATTATACTGGTGCAAAATTTTGTTTAACATGCATTATTTATTATTTGCACCAAATCGCCTCATAATGTCCTTTGTTTCAGATTCACACAATCACTCTCTCTCTCTATCTCTATCTCTCTGACTCCCAATTATTTCACAGCCCTCCAAAAGTATTTATTTCTAATTCTAAACGTTCACTAATTTACAGCAAACACAAAATTACAATGGCAAGTTCCCGATTTCACCCAGAGCATCATTTGGAAAGGCCGAGTGGAGACTAAGCACAACACAAGCTCAAAGGTTTAAATTTTTCTCCCCAAACATACACACCTAGTCTCACAAATACAAATAGGCACAATTATAGCTTCTAAGACACACAAAGGATAGTCACATACAGAACGATTGCTGAAGGTGTTAAATATATCAAGTGAAGGACATGTGTGTGTGTGAGTGACCAGAAAACCAAGATTCGGTGATCTTAACCAATGTGCACAAGCTTTGTGGTTACAAAGCACTTCTTAGCTTTACTTTCTTATGTTCTTATAGTAACTTCCTCAGTGTGTTCTACATTTCTGTTGTATAATCTCTGTGGGATGATCATTTCAGATTTTTCAACTAAAAAAAAGTAGGTCAGATAAGACCTATATTTGCTGGATAAGAACTGCTGGAGCCTGAGGGAATTTGAGCAGAATTAAAGTCATTACATATGTGGAAACGCACATGTCTCTCGTGCACATACAGTATGCTCAAATGGGGGTGGGGATGGGAGGGAAGGAAGAAGGATTTGTCATTTCCGCCCATGAAAGAGAAGTCAAATACTATCTTTATTGCCATTAGCACCCTCTGCTGGATTTCAATCACTGTTTCAACCGATGCAGCCAGAACCAATTTTGCTGAAATCATTTCAAACACAAATACATTCTTTTCAAAAGGTGCAGAAATAAAATACTTTAAGTCATGGTTTTTGTCAATTCAATTTGGAGAAAGATTCCTTTAAGATATTGCGTCAGCCTGGTTTAGTTGGGAGCAGTGTCTCCTCTGAGTCGGAAGGTTGTGGGTTCAAGCTTGTTGTTGGGTCTTGGAGCTTATATCATCTAAGCTGACACTCCAACACAGTGGTGCAGTGTGCTGAATCATTGAGGGTTGCGTTAAAAAAGAGCCCCATCTGCCTATTCAAGTGGATGTTATGAGAAAAGAAAAGGGAGTTTCTCCCAGTGTCCCAGCCAACAATCCCCGAAATAAAATGGATCACTCGCTATTTGTGGGACATCGCTGTGTGCAAATTGGTTGCCAATATACATTCCATATTAGATCCTTTGGTTGCAAGCGTAACTGCAACGGGTACTGCTAGTAGCCTATAAAGCAAGTGTCTTCACGGGATACTACAACAACTTGCATTTATATAGTGCCTGTCACATAGAGTTAGGTCTCAGATTGCTCACAGGGTGGGGGTTTGACACCGTGCAAGGAGGATGGGGGAGAGTTTTACATAATAAAAACCTGACATAAATTCTATGCACCAAAATTTTTTTTTTAAAAAGATTTTATTTATTCTTACTTCTCTGTAAAGAAAGAGCATAATACATCTTGACAAATGAGAAATTCATTGTTGCCACAGTACATCAGTAAACCTACTTAGTTTGAATTCTCTTTCTCACCAACACACACATACACACACAACCATACACTTTTACTGGGCAAGCTTTAAGATCCGATATACCATCACAAATGAATTAAAAA